GAAAGTACGTATTTTACATTTATATCGAAGATGATTTCTTGGAAAATGTGTTCCATCACGGACTATAGGCAAAATCAGTACAAAAAAATTTCCTCTTCTTCCGTCTGCAAACTAAGAATTGAAATAGTTTATGAATAATAAATCAAAATCTTATTCTTCCTGCGAAATAACTTTTGTTTTAGGTTTTTCAAAAGTTATTTATCTAAACAAGTTACAAATTCCCTTTTAAATTTTAAAACGCATTTTGAATTTACTTTTATTCTTCGATTCAACCCGTTCTTTTGTTTCAAACGATACATTTATTTACTAATTCCATTTCTAAAAAAGCATGTGTAAAATGAAATGAAGTCACGCGAGAATTCAATTGCAGTATTTTCGTTGATAGTAAAAGAAAATGTAAAAAAAAAAAAGATAAAATATCGTTTTACGTTTTGTATTTGTTTTACTCTGTTACACATTGAAGTAAAAGGAAAATTTAAGTAAAATGAAAATTATTGTCGCCATTATCATTAAAGCTCATAGATTACATTTTATAATATTGATAAATGAACAGGATTATACGAAGACATAGCTCTATTCTTAGATTTAATGTGTGTATAATCACATTTTATTCGTCTTAACACGTTCACGCCGGGGTGACCTACCGGTGCGTCACGCTAGATTTTCTCATCTTGGCAGCACACCGGAGTAAAAACTGATAACAATAAATTTCATTTTTTAGTTTTTTTCCGGGAATAATTAAAATCCATAACTACCAATTGTTTTTAACGGATGCAAATTTTATATTGAAATGCTTCTTCGCCGTGATAAATTTCCTTACAGTGAATTGTTATTGTTGAGAATAGATCAACTCCTTCCGAATATTATCTAATATTGAAATAGTTCTTCTACGAGTATTTCCTCTTTTCCCGGCGTGAACGTGTTAAAATGATCTTGCCTAACATTGCATTCGAATAATTTAAACATTATAGATGGTAGGCAATTATTAATTTTGTAAATTAAAGAAATTTCTATGAGAAATAACTGTTTCTTGTTATACATAAATAATCTGCAAGTAAGTGCAAATTTTAAAAATTGTTGTTTGGAAGTGCATTTCTGCCAACTTGTACTGTCGCTGAAAAAGATTTAACAAAACGGTTGTAAAACAACATTTTAAGTTGGAAATGTTTCCTAAAAACTAACGTAATGTATAGTAAGCAATTATTGATTTTGTAAATTTAAGAAATTTCTATGAGGAATAACTGTTTCTTCTTATCTATAAATAATCTTCAAATAAGTGCAATTTTGAAAAATTGCTGTTTTTAAGTGCATACCTGCCAACTTGTACTGTCACTGAAAAGGATTTTACAAAATGGTAGTAAAACAACAATTAATGTAGGAAATATTTTCTAAAAATTAAACTACTTAAACATATAAGAGCAAAATAAGCCAATCAACAGAACATATCTAAATATATTTTGATTATTGATTTGTAATAGTAGAGTGAAATATTTTTGAAATTTGAAGATTTAATGCGTCAAAACGCTATAATGCCACAAAGAAAAAAATTTCTCAACGGCCGTACAAGTTGGTAGCTATGGAAGTGAGTGGTGTTTGGAAGATTTTACGTTTAACTCATAGAAAAAAATCCTGTGTTTCATGCTGTATTTCATAACTATAAATTATTAAAATGCAGAATACAATATTTTTCACTTATTTTGACCTATACAAAATAAGGGAAAAAGGATGAAAAATATGTTTTATTAACACGTTGAATGCCACGCTAATTTTACACTGCTTGCCCGTCTGGCCAAACGGTAAATAACTACATACTAAATTTGCAAATATTAGACAGATTTTGCTAGTTTTTTAAAAGGTTTAGCATGACATAAGGACTGTAACTAAATTTGCAATTATTAGGGAGATTTCTCTAGCTTTACAAAAGGTTTAGAATGACATACCTGAAAAAAGTGGTGAATTATATAAGCCTACGAATTATTTAGAAATAGTGGTGGATAAAAATCTGCTTAATTGAATTTATTAAAAAAAGAATCACAAATTATAAACTACCACTTGAAAATATATTTTCGCTGGTTGGAGCAAGTTGGCATCTCTGTGTGTATATAAATAAAACTATTTTTGTGTGTTCTATATTGCATTAATTTCTTCGAACCATTTTAGTAACGATAATAATATAAATTTATTAAAAATTTACTCAAATTATGTGTTTCTAGTAATCTTGGCTTTGCCGCTCATCGGTGACGCCCATGGCATTCAACGTGTTAAAACTCTGCGTCAAAAAGTTAAAGACAAAATTCACAGAAATTTCGTTGATTTTGCTAGCTTTTTAAAAGGCTCGTTCAGAGATATTATATTTATAAAGTTGCATTTCATATTATTTTTAAACATGAATACGGTGGGGACTAAAATAGCCATACATTAGTTTTACAAAGCTAAGATTTATGTGCGAAATAAGTTTCATTACTACTAGAAATAAAAATTTACACCGCATAGCGGAGCTAGTTGGCATCTCCGCTCTTGTGTTCCTACAGTTAATATGGAAATTATTTTAACATTTTGAATTCCAAATTACTTTAATTTGCCATTTGAACTAAAATAATTGCTAACTCATTTCACTTATGCAGTTCAATATTTTTATATAATTTCTAAAATTCATGAAATAATATGGTAGCTAATTATTAAGGCACAGAAATTGTAGATTTTAGAGTTCTAACTCTCTATGCCACCTTATAAGTGTCAGCGGAGTAGAAAAGTTTAAAACAGTTTTATTTTTAAACTCTTTGTATGAAACCTTTTTAAGTTCATACAACTTTTGTAATTATTTAATCTTTCTTAAAAAAATTATAAGTGGATATTTTCTATTATTAGCTATCACTTTTAGTATAAATAAATCGTAGCGAACGATTTAAAATTTATTTTAAGGTATTTATATTAATAATATATCGTGGCTTCTTATGTGCTAATGCGAAATCCTAACCACATTCAAATTTTAGTTTAATAAAACCATTCAAATTTTAGTTTAATAAAAAAGTCAAATTTTATTAATTAAGAATTATTCGAAGATGAACAATTTTTCGAAGCTGAAATTTTTTATACAAAAAAGAAAATAAAATGAAAAACATTTTTTGCTGTAAATCATAAAAGAACATACATTTAACATTATTAATGTAACTTATTGATATTAAAGAAAGCTTATGAAATATGTCTTTCATAAACGAGCCGCACAACTCAACTTCTGCTACAAAGATATCAAAATTGCAACATCCAGAAAGAAAAAAAATATAACCTTAAACAGACAAGAAGAAGAAAAAATATTAAAAGCATTTCTTTGGCGAGATAGCACATTTCGTAGCTTTCGCCAAAGGACTAAATCCTAGCACCTGCCATAACCTTTTATGAGGTATGGGGCTATGATCAATATCTCGTCCACATACTAAACTTTTAGTCCTGTTTTGCGAAAAGAAGATTATGGGCAAAGAGAGAGGCTTCCGATAAATCATAATAGGGATATCTTCCTGAACTCAGACAACCGGGGAATATTTTAAATCCCGTATTTTGAACTCTCTCTGGGAATTACCAGCTTGAAAATAAGTAAAATATTTCTTTTCGCAAACAATTCCTCTATGGAGGAAAATAAATCGCTTTGTGGAGTGTTTGTATGCTGAAAAAATGCGTTAGTTGATGAGTTTTGTCGATGACTAATGTCGTTGAAAGATTCCTGTCGATTTTTTAAAGCCGTGTTTGAAGAGTATGCAAGCAAATTAGTTGACATAAAATGTGAGTGTTAACTGAAGTACTTATCAGAACTTTTTGTTGTTGACATATTTCGGTTTTAAGCTTTTGTATGCATATTTTCTTTAAAATATTACCCAGTACCAGGGGTGAAAGCGAGACGGAAAAGAGGAAAGGCTGGTAGTAAAACCATTTCAGTTACAGCTAGTTTTGGGTAGGAGTTTACTTATTCTTTTTTTAAATTGTTCAACAATATCTTCTTTATCTTGGAAAAGAAGCAGTTTTATATATATGCTAGAATTATAAAAGAAATCTTGATAGTTACAGATATTTCATTTTTTTCGAAAAAAATGCTGGAATGAAATGTTNGGTGAAAGCGAGACGGAAAAGAGGAAAGGCTGGTAGTAAAACCATTTCAGTTATAGCTAGTTTTGGGGAGGAGTTTACTTATTCTTTTTTTAAATTGTTCAACAATATCTACTTTATCTTGGAAAAGAAGCAGTTTTATATGTATGCCAGAGTTATAAAAGAAATCTTGATAGTTACAGATATTTCATTTTTTTCGAAAAAAATGCTGGAATGAAATGTTTTACGTACCAGGTTTTTCTCTTTTCCGTCTTGCTATATAAGGGCTTTCACCCATGCCCAGCACCAGGCCTGAAAGCGAGACGGAAAAGAAAAAATACTGGTAGGAGAACTAATTCAAAATTAGATAATATTCGGGAGGAATTATTCTATTCTTAACGATAAACAATTCACTGTAATTAACTTCTTCTCGGCGAAGAATAAAAATTGTATCCCTTAAAAACAATTGGTAATTAAAGATTTTTATTATTCTCGAAAAAAATTAAGAAATGAAATTTTTTTTTTACCAGTTTTTACTATTTTCTTCTTGCCCCGTACTATTTATTCTATTTTTTAATTTGCTCTTTTTTTTCTTTTATGATGAAGATTTGAGGATGCTTTTATGATGGGGATTTGGGGTTGGGGAATCAAATGGGGATTTGATAGAATATTAAGTCATTGGTAATGGATATTTTGAATTTTATGAATTCTAATTTTCAATAGAATTATTTTCAAGAATGTTATAATTGGAGGGTTATGAGGAAAAAAGGGTACTGAATGGCATGGTAAGGATAATGGTAGACTGTGCTGCCCATAGTGCTGTTCGATAGACTGTGCTGCCCATGTAAAACAATCCTAATTTGTTTATGTTTTCGTGTTTATAAATTTTATCTATAAATCCTCATATTCTTTTTCTTTTCTAGCAAGCCGAAGAAATCGTCCAAGCAGCCTATGACCATGGGATCAATATATTTGACACTGCAGATGCCTATGCAGGAGGAAGGTATGAATATATATATATACTCACATACCTGCCAACTTTTTATCCCTTCGAGGATGCTTTTCCCAAGTGGTAGTAAAATGGAATTTAAATTACAATTTTAGGCAGTAACATACGCTACATTTTGAAGAAGCTTAAACGGAGTGCATAGAAAGTAATACATATTATTATATATGCTTAATTTTTTTAAAATTAGTGGTGGTCAAAAAAGATTATAAATTAAGTTTATAAATGCAAGGAATGTACAGAAAGCAAACATTTTACTACCACTTTAAATATAGAAATAAAATTTTACGCCAAATGCGTAAAAGTTGGCAGGTCTGTACTCATGCTATTGTTGTATTGATATATTTTGTATTGGCAATATAACGATATTTTAATAGAATATCAGAAAGCTCTAATTTTTGCGGCTATTATCGTGTGGGTTGAAGAAGTGATTTATCTTTTGTTAATTTGTCTGTATTTTTATTTGTAATTAATAATTAATTAGTTGTTAATTTGTCCGTTTTTAATCAATTCAATTTTTTAATCTGCAGTTTTTTTTTTTCGTTTTTTTCATATTTCTTTTTTAAAAAAATTTTATTAAAAATATTTTTAAATATTTCATTGTTTTCCCTTTTTTTTTCGTTTTTAATTTGTGTAATCATCAATATATTCATTGTTTTAACCCCTTGGGGACGGGTGATTCGGAAAAGCATTCGAACAAAGTCAGAATCAAGTTGTAATTAAATAAAAAACGGTAACTTAAATGTTGTCGTTGCTAATTTGACAGACTTACTTTGCTTTTACTTTAATTATTGTTAGTTTAATCATATATATAATCAATGTTGGATCAAAGTAAAACTAAATAGTTTTATTTTGAACAAAGTAATAGTAAATTAAATAAATCAAACAATTATAACTCCGCCTACAAATAAACTGCTAAAGAAATACTTTGATTGCCAGTTTTATATTTTTACCCTGATTGATACGGCTTTATGCTGGCACGTATTTGTGACAGTCGGCGCGAAAGGGTTAATAAAGTAGAATTCAAATAATTCATGGTGCAGATCAAATCATTTGGACAGGTATACACTCATTGTGTTTTCAGAAAGCTTATTATGTTATAATTTCTTACATGCCGGTTCCTGCGTTATCAAAAGGAATTAATTAGGTGAATGCTAAAAATTGTTTTAAATGTTCCGATCTAGATTTAATATGAATGTGTGAAAATTTTTCTCCTCTTCCAAGCAGAGCTTTAAAAACGATTTTGAAATTAGTGAGAGTGAAGATTATCAAATAGGAAGTATTTCTTATATTTATCTAAGGGTTGTATTACACAGGCACAAGGCCCCGAGTCAGAACCGAGAAGAGCAACACAATTCGCGACGATATAAGCAGAGGAGTACAGAGAAGAACCCAGTCCAAGCAAGCAGGGTGGCCACGCCAATCTATCTTCAAACGGCGGCCTACACCGGGCAGATAACAGGGAAGCAACCACCACACCATGACCCATCAGAACCGCTCTCAGACTAGAAACTTTTCAAACCAATAAGCTTTATTCTTAAAACATAAAAGTTTAAAACAGATAAAACATTCTAAATTCTATTTAGTTAAAACTTGCAATCTCTAAAGCTTTTTCTTTTCTTTTTTTTTAGTTTTGTTTATCTGATTTTTTCAGAAAAACGTTGGAAACTATTTTCGCTACATTTTTAATTGTTTATATTTCATCTTCCTTTATATGTGCCTCATGAATCGTAAGGATTATGATTGTCTTGGGACTATTACTAATAAAAAAGTAAATAAATAAACAAAAAAGGACAGCATTTGGTAGGTATAACTTCCAAAGAATTAAAAAATAGAATGCTTAATCGTAAACAAAATGTAAGATTCTTTTCATATTTGTATCTTTAAAAATATCTTTGTATCTTTAAAAAAACTTTTTTTTACACATATACACTCAAACATTTCTCAGAAATCAAGTATTTTCTGGTTTTTTGCTTTTTTATACTTTCGATAAAACATTTTTACGGTTATTATAATTATTCAAGTAAAGATTTAAAATTGAAGAAATTTTTTAGAAACTTTCCGTTGAATGTTTCGTATTAATATTTACACGTTTTCCATTAAGTAAATAAACTAAGCGAACTTTATATTTAAAAAAATTGAAGAAACAAAAGAATATTATAAGATTGCAACAAATAATAAAAAATACAAAAGAATATCTTTTACTAATTCCATTTTGAGTTCAAAAGAAAATTAGAAAAAGATATAAAACCGATTTTTTTGAAAAGGACATCAGTCATTTTTTTATAGTAATTTATCGGGAAAAAAAACAATTTAAATAGTTTGATAGATATTTCGAGACTCTATTGTTTCTTTACATATTCCCTCTTCTCTTGATATATTATTTCCTAGGAAAAATTATTTCCTTAGAAATATTATTTCCTTTCCTGTTCTCATTTTATTTCACTAATTAAACTACCCACATCTACTTGCTTTTGCGAATATTTTTGCTAGTACTAGGAAAAGTAAAAATTATAGATATTTTTAATTCAAAATATATTTATTTTAAATAGTTTTAATTTTAAAATATCTTTGAATTTAGTAATAAAATTAAAAAGTAATTTTTTTAAAACAAATTTCATTATTTTTATCTAATTTTATCTCATGAATAAAATCGTCAAATTTGCTCGAAAGGTTTAATATTTGAAGAGGTGACAAAACATATACTTTTAATATATTTATCTTTGCTAACAAAGTTGATTTATAGTCCTAGTATTTTGTTTTTTCTGGGCATCACCTCCGAAATCAGAAAGCCTCCACGCGGTTTTATTATAAAAAGTCTGCGCAGACGGTTTAAAAAGTGAGCCAGTTGTGCGCATGAACCCAAATTCTATTTTCAAAGTAATTGAGAGATATTTATCATATATATTTGAGAATTGAATCTGTGGAGGTTGACAAGTGAATAAGACAAATCAATCATATTCATAAATTAAGCAAATTTTTAGACATATATTTGCTACCACTTTCGTATCTTTATTACATTTTGTATTAAATGACTCTTTCAACTGGTTTGCTTTAACATGTTCACGCCGGGTGTTGCGTCTGAAAGCGGGACGGGAAAGAGAAAATACTGGTAGAAGAACTATTTCAATATTAGATCGGGAGGAGTTAATCTATTCTCAACAATAACAAATCACTGTAAGGAAATTTATCATGGCGAAGAAGCAATTCAATATAAAAATTGCCTCCGTTAAAAACAATTGGTAATTATGGATTTTTATTATTCCCGGAAAAAAACTTAAAAATGAAATTTATTTGTTACCAGTTTTTACTCCGGTGCTCCGCCCGATGAGACAATCTAGCGTGACCCACCGGTGGGTCACCCGGCGTGAACGTGTTAAAAGTCTTCTGATCGGACTACCTCTAAAAAACAGTGTGGAGATCTTTCAGTAATAGGAAGCGGCCCTATCCCATTCGTCATGGAATTTCAAGTGGGGAATTGAAGTAAGCAGGTAGTGGGGTTGCTAAAGTTGATTTATAATAATTTAGGTCACCACTATGCATAAATTAGTTTTATAAAAAAAAAAGCTGATAAATATCAGAATCATCAAAAGAGGTTTTTGTTTGAGATCGTTATCAACGGTAGACATCCTGTGTTACTCCAAAACTCGACATAAAATTTTTAATAACTATTATTTATTTAACCCTTTCGAAGGAAGTGGGAAGTATACTTACCACCACTTTTTTACCACTTTTAATTTAGGTTTCCATTTGTTAATAACTTCAGCTTTCTTGAAATGCGTTTCAATAAAATTGGAAACCATTTGTTAGTTTATAAAAACGTATAAAAGTTATAAAATACATAATTCCTTTTGAAGTTTGTAGTGATTATAAAATTCATTTTATAAATAAAGAAAAATAAAAGTAAATAAGTTCCTAATAGGTCGTGTTAATATATTTACCACCAAAAAAAAATGACTTTTTTATAAACTAAATGAGTTTTTTTCTTATATCAATTACTATTCTTAAAACAATTTCAATTCCAAAAATACTTTAATTTACCTTTACTAGAAATAAATAGCCTATTAAAGGGTTAAAGATTAAATTGCATGTAATATGTGAGAAAAATTATAATTAAGACTTGAAGAACGCCTAAACTAACTTTAAATCCTTTTCATAAAAATTTTGTTCTGTAGACCAAAATATTTTGTAAAGAGGTTATATAAACATGGCTAGAAATTAGATTATAGATTTTACTCGCTTTGTTCTTTATCGACTGAATTTATAAGTAGAAACTTAGTAGTAAAAAACTGTTGTTTTGTAGAATAGGCAAAACTTATAAATAACTTGTTAATTATTCAGAAATGTAAACAACTTTCTCTAAAAGTTCCGTTAAAATCTATTAATATTTTAATCTTATCCTGAAAGTAGCTACTCTTTCTCTTAGCTTCGAATTCATGTTCAATTAGAAAGTAGTGAAAACTAATTAGCAGCGCACGGAAACGAGATTAAACTTAATGCGAGAATTACTTCTCAGTTTAGGTTATAATTAATTTAAAATAAAATAAATACTGTCGCCGAAGTTAGCTTCAATTAAAAATCATAATTAAGGAAATTTTTAACCTATTTGTGCAAAGCCATCTTTTAAAACAGGGTTGCCATGGGAGAATAAAAATGCAAAAAGTCGTGACTAATAAAATTCCAAATTTTATTGAAAGAGATAAAATTAATAATTTTTTATAGAATATTTTTTTTCAGTTTACTATTGCAAGTGAATGCGAAGAATATTTCTGGTTTAAATATGAATTTATGAATTATTGAAAATGAATGCAAAGAATGTTTCTGGTTTGAATATGAATTTATGAATTATTGAAAATGAATGCAAGGACTGTTTCTGGTTTGAATATGAATTATTTAAAATGTGAATCATAGTGGCGATTGCGATTCCATAAATTAAGAGATAATAAATGAATAAAATGAATTTTCTACCACTTTTTACTTTTTTGTCTCCTGTTGTATCCCTATTGAAATGTCGGTGTATTTTTCCAAAAACGAAGAACATTGCAGCACAAATACTTAATTATGAAGACTTTTTCTGGAAAAAACAAAATAGTTGTGTCTACCATTATACATTAATATGTCTAACACTATACAGTTATATACAAGCCTGCCAACTATTACGCTTTTTGCAAAAATATTTTATGGAGTAGTAGACACCAAAACCAAAGCTTTCAAAATTTCCAGTAATTTTGTCAACATTTTAAAAGCCTCACCTTTAAAGAGCTGGAGCAAAGTAGCTTTGCGTGTGAACTTTAAAATCATTTATGTGTAGTGATGTTGAAAATTAGTTTCAATTGATAAAAAATAATGTATTAAAACATAAACTTAGTTACTACTAGTATAAATTTTTACAAAAAGCGTAGAAAGTTGGCAGCTCTGTTTATTTTTAAATTTGAAGAACAAGCACAGCCTTTTTTTCAAAAGCTAAAGTAGTCTGTAACAAAACGAAATGTCCCTTGGAATAAACAAATGTGTATTGCCACATTTTTCATACGTAGATTTAAATAATGAAAACACTTTTATAATAACTCTATAAAAATATTTTTTTTTTCTGCCGCAAACATTTTCAAAGATTTTGCTTGACAAAGCCATTCTCACAATTTGAAGCTTTTTAAAATGATGTCCTTTTTCACCATACAAACTTCGAATGGACTAAAATGAGTATGGGAGTTAACCTCTTCGAGACGGGCGAGTCATATAGGCATACCTGCCAACTTTTACGCATTTGGCGTAAAATTTTATTTTTATATTTAAAGTGGTAGTAAATATATACTATTTTTTCTTTTATAAACTAAATTTTTAAAGGATTTTCATCACCACTATTCCTAAAAAAATTAAGCATATATATTAATGTGCGTTACCAGCTTAAGCTTTATCAAATACAACGTATTTTTTTGCTTAAAATTGAAATTTTTATTCCATTTTAATACCACTGGGAAAAATCATAATGGAAGGGATTAAAAGTTGGCAGGCATGTATATGCATTCTCAGGGTGGCGACAATCAGGGTGAAAAATAAATAAAACTGGTAGGCAAAATATTTCTATAGCAGTTTATTTAGGGGGAGGAGTAACAATAGTTTAATTTACTTAATATATTACTATTTAATTCAAAATAAAAACTATATAGGTACACTTTGAACTATCATTAATTGGACATGCTGGAATTAAAGTAAAAGCAAAAATAAGACTTTCAATTTATAGGAAAATAAGCCACGCCCAAACTTAAGCTACCGCTTTTTTTTTTTTTTTTNGCTTTTTTTTTTTTTTTTATCCTGAACTCTACGATTTAACTACGTGTTCAATAGAATAACGATTGCTTGATCGTTAACCCCTTTTGCACGGGTAATTCGTAAAAGCATTCATACAAAATCAGAATCAGCTTAATCAGATATATAATCAATGTTAGTTCAAAGTATATCTAAATAATTTCATTTTGAACTAAATTAATGGTGGATTAAGTAAATCAAACAATTATAACCCCGCCCACAAATAAACTGCCAAGGAACTACTTTGGTTATCAGTTTTTGCGCGAAAGGGTTAAAGTATGAAATACAGCACTCAAAGGTTCTTTGAACCAGTTCTTATTGCTTTTAGTCAGTTTTGAACCGCTTATATCTGTACGCTTCATCAAGTTGCTTTTAGACATAGAATTTCGACGGTGTAATTAAGTTAGCTTATGTTGCTTTTCCTTATTATTTATCATTTAATCATCCGCAATAGGGATAAATAAGTATTATTCGAGAGATTTTAGCAATTTAAGATAAATTAATTTATAATATAACTTTGAAATCGTTTTTGTTTCAATTTAACTGTCTATCATTAGTTATTTCATAGAATAACTAAGTAAGCAATTTTTCATCTATTATATACATTAACTGAATTGACTAGTTATTTCATGAAATACCTTGTTATTCTATGAAATAACTGAATTAAACACTTTAACGGTAACATTGTTTAAGTTTTTTGTGTGAAGTATCAGAAAATATCATTAAAAATTAAGTTTAGTAAGTCAATCATAACATATTTAATTGTAAAACATACTGCCACTCTAAATAATCAAATAAAAATTTTCTATAAATAGGAACAAGCTATAAAAATAATTTCTTAAAAAAATATTTTTAAAAAAATTCAAAAATGGAATAGTGATTGCATGAAATCATTAATATAAAAAGGGATTAATTGAAAGAGAAAACATTTGGAGGAAAAAGATTCTTTGGATTCCATCAAAGAGTCCTTAGAGATTTCCGTTGTGCTAATTTTCTCATAAGGACTTGTTTTGAAACAATATAAATTACCAGACTTGTTTACGACTTTGTTGAGTGTTCTCCAACATTAAACCAATTTACTGCTGGACTCGGATGACGTAGCTTGTTTCCAAGGAAACATAGTAAGTTGATTAGATTAGCATGGATGCAAGATGATTCATATAATTCCCCGCTGTGTTGAATAATCTCAAACTTTAATGAAATACTTAATTCAAAATTAATTAAGAAATTTTATAAATGTATTCCTCTTTTGATTAATGCATAATATATTCACACAAAGTGTATGGATGCAATTAGTGATATTGAGATTGTTCTTTGATGTTTTATGATATCTATTTCAACTTTAAAGATCTGAAATTTTTACCAATAAAGAACTCATCCTAAAAGTTTAATTCAACATTTAATTAATTTTATAATTAATGTAAACATATAATATACTTAAGGAAGAAAAAAAAATTGGAAATTTTATGTATAAGCAAATTTATTCTTGATTAATAAATGATTATTTCGAAGGAAATATCAGGGCACAAGATATTTATTTCAATTTCATTTTGCTTACTCTTCAATTTTAAGGAAATAAATATTTACTTTGGAAATTTTATAAATATATTCATTCTCAATTTATGTATAATATATGCATAGAAAGTGTATTGGGGCAATTAATGATCTTTGCATTATTATTTGATTTATAATACCTATTTCAATTTCATTTGTTTCGATAGTTCTGAAATTTTGTAAATAAAAAACTTATCCTAAAATGTTTAAAAAAAATATTATAACTTAAAAATTGCATAAACATACAAAATAATTAAGGAATGAAAAATGCTTCGGAAATTTTATAAATTTATTCATTCTTAATTAATGAATAATAATTTTATAGAAAATATACTGGCTCAACTCATGAACTTCAAAATTTTTTAATGTTTTGCGATATCTAGTTCAGTTTCATTTTCTTATAAAAATAAATACTCTACAATTTTAAAGAAATAACTAATTACTTAAGAAATTTTTTAAATATAGTAAATTTTTAATTTATTCGGGAATAAATAAAAAATTTATTGAGAAATTTTATAAATGGATTACATAACAATATTTGCATTGTTCTTTGATGTTTTATAATGTCTATCTAAACTTAATTTGTTAACTTTAGTATAAAATTTTATGAATAAATTGCTTACCTTAAAATTTTAATGAAATATTTAATTTATTTAAAAATTATACAACATACCGAATAATTAAGGAATTAAAAATGTTCTAGGAATTTTATAGATCTATTCATCCTTGATTAATGAATTATAATTTCGAAGAAAATATAAGAACGCAACTCTTGAGCTTCAAAAAAAAGAATTTTTCTTTTTGTTTTACTATGTCTGGACCAATTTCATTTGTAGTATTATTGGTCCAAAATTTTTCTTGTAAAAATGCTTATAAAATTTTCAGGAATTTACTTAAGAAACTTTATGCAATATTAGTTCGAGAATAAATAAAAAATTTATCGAAAACTTTTATAAATATAATCATCCTTAATTAATGTATAATATATTCATAGAAAGTGTATAGATGCAATTAATGATCTTTAGATTATTCTTTGAAGTTTTATAACACCTATTTCAATTTTATTTGTTGTTGTGCCATTTTTAAAAAAACTTTTAGAAAATCTCATATTTTAATGAAATATTTGATTCAAAATTAATTAAAAAAATTTATAGGCGTATTCGTCCTTGATTAGTGCATAATATATTCACAAAGAGTGAATAAGTGCAATTAAGGATTTTTAGTATGCTCTTTGCTGTAAAATGATGGCTGTCTAAATTTCATTTGTTTTTTATAGGTCTGAAATTTTGCTTGGAAAAATACTTAAAAATAGCTCTTGGAAGTAAGTCTAAATAGTATTATTAATATATAATTTAATTTTAATAACTTTAACTTATTTATGAATTTCAATTTCAAATATTATTTGAAATTGAACCTTACTTCATAAATATGCTAATATGTAAATAATTAATGCAAAAAATATACTGCAAATGTTTTCACCCCATATCTCTCAGTTATTGAAAACTAATGGCAAATCACCACAATATATTCTTAATAAAATATTGTAATATTTTGATAAAAACCATCAATTAAACGAAAAGAAATATATTTTTACCTTATTCCATCATTTTTTTCATGTTGCCTTTTCTGCATTTCAAGGTTGTCCAAAACACAGAAAATTTTTACACTTTGAGATATTTTTATAATTTTTTTTTTCAAATTTTCTTTCACGTGGTGAAACATTATACTTTTTACTCTATTTCAAATAAAATGAAAGCTTTGAAAAATATAACTGTTAACACATTGCTGACCGGCAACTTTTCTGAAAATTACCCCATGTGCCTGGCTGTTGTTTTGAAAGCAGATGTGGAAGTAAAACAATATAAATAAACTTCACAAATTTTTAATGCCGTATGATAAAAAGTTAACAATCACCTATGTGTAATCAAGTTTTAGCTTTTAATTTACTTTTTATTTTTGCTTTTAATTTGCTAAATCAGGCATGCCAACTGCTCAACTTTCAACACAAAATTCAATAAAATGATACAGCCGAAAAAATTGTAGTCTTTTAAATTTTTTTTGTACAAATTTTTTAACGCTTTAAGAGCTCTACCACTAAATAATTGGAACAAAATGTCGTTTTATATGTACGTTTGAATTAAAAGTCATACAGTATTTATAAATAGATGGTTATATATATATATATAT